TTGAAAAATCACAGGTTAATGCTCTCCCAAAAAACTACACAACTGCTGCTGAAGAATGTGAGGATTCTTTTGTCAGGCAGTGAATTTAAAGTGGAAGAGGGTCTAGGGAAAGGAAAGAAATGACAAAGGAGGAACAGTTTGCCATTTGTAAGAGGACTCATTAGAATGTTTTAGTCACCCTTGGATCAGTCTGATTTCCTGAAAGTGAAAAAGCGTACAGATTCAAAGAGGATGTAAGGAACCAGCAGAGGCTAATCTCTGTCCCTGTTTTGGTATTCCTTCCAAAAAAATACATAAGATCTTTCTTTGGGATTGTGTACCATGCTTCATTGTTTCTCATTCTAGCAAAATATGCATCATGATTCAAGCAAAATGATTTATGGCATGTGAAACTCAAAGTTTTAATCTGATAAAATAACCCAGATAGTACAGTCATGATGTGATCTCAAATAGCATAAAGCAGAGAGAACCCACTGTTAATCATTATGCTAATAAAAACTGATTCAGTTAAATTGTTTTCCCCATGTTCCTTTCTTCTCTGCCAGGATTTTCTCAGAGGACTTAGTGCACATAAGCACAAGCAGAGGAAAGGTTCCTTATGCTTCACTCCCTCATTTCAGGTGCCAGTTGTGTAAGATGACCTTCGCCCTACGTAGCTGCCCAGCACAAAACTGGTCCATGACTTAAGGCCCACGTAAGCCTTTTGGAACTGAAGCTATTCATAGTTTTTCCACTGAAAAGCTGCAGAGGAATGAAATTCAGCTTTGGCAAAGAGTTTCTCTTTTGGCATTAGTCCTTCCAGGTTTGCAGCTTCCCCCTCTCTCTTTTTCCTTCTCTATAGTGGAAAAATACCCCAAACAACTTGTACAGAAGTTCAGCCATTCAGGAGAATTTCACAGCTTGCTATTGGTTTCACAGAATGACTCAAAGAACCTATTAATTTGCTTCTCCAATTTTGTAGGTTTAAAAAAAAAAAAGGTCAAGCAACTCCTACAATCATTCTACAGAATCCTATTGGTTGTAGTCCTCGTAGGGGGTAAGTCTTTCTCTTCCTCTCCTCAGCCAGAAATCCACCACCTCCTCCATCTTAACTTAGACTTAAACACTAGTGGAAAAGCACAAGATATATTACAGCTTCCCAAAGAGGCTGTATTTTGATTCCCATGAGCAACTCCATGACACAAAATCTCCACTGCTCAGTGCAAGTGGGGGAGGCTCTATATGTAGTGTTGGAAGGAGAAGCTCTCTTCCTATTGTGCAGCTCCCTCAGCTCCCCCAGTCGCTCAACTTTCTTTGGTCAAGCTCAGGACTATCACCTTATCAGCCTTATTGTAGCTCAGGTTGCCCTGTCAAAACTAAGACTAAGCAAACACCTGTTCATCCTGTTTTAAAATGAACTTCATTTATGTTAGAGAGAGACAGAGGGAAAAAGAACAGCGTATGAGTCTCTGAAAAGTGCTGATTAAATACAACTTGCTCCATAATGATTTGTTGCCATCTCTTGACGAAGATGATCTGGTACTTGCATCTTCCACTGAATTTCATTCCTATTGTAGCTGAACTTGGGAGAAGTGATGGGGAAGGATATTAATATATCTTCGGGCTGAGAGGGAGCTGTTTTTCAAGTGAGACAGAAGCAATAAGTGTTTTGAATACCTCATACTTCAGTGAAATCCAATTTTTTGTCACAGGTTTTGCACTAAAGTAAGAATGTGCTTGGAAGTCAAAGTGCAGGATGCTAAGTGGCATCTATAAACTGCATAGGCAATGAATGCTTTTTGTTCCTTTGTTGCTTGCAAATGCACCCTTCCGTCTGCAGCAGGAGTGAACATCAGCTATTGGTGCAAGGCTTTGTGCTCAGAGGGTTTTGCACAGAATCCAAATTGCAGCTTATGGTTCCTTGTGAAGTCTAAAGAAAATGACTGCAAATTCCCCTGCTCAAGTGGCTCAGGAATAATACATGCCTTCAAACATTTCTGGAAGGTAGGGCGTTTCTGCCGAGACAGCAGCTCATGAAGACAAACTCAGTCTTTAAGTGGTATAAGCTCTGGCCCTGGCCAGCAAATTTGTGTGTTTAACCCTTGGAGCGTTCCCCACACCATGTTAGCTTACTGCAGTCAGCCCTGAGTGCTCCTGTGGGAGCGGACACAGGCACAGGGAAGAGCCAGGACAGGGAGGGAGTCCATGTTGATGGGTCACAAATTTGAATTGTTTGGGATGGGAAGGCAGTCTACAGTCTTTTGACCAAATTTGTCCTGGCAAAGGGCATGATAATAATAACAGTTGTCTTAAAGAGGATAAGGCAAATCCCAGTGCTACAGTTGGTAGGAACTCTGCATTCTTTGCAGCTTAATCACAGTAAAGCAGTCAACCATTAGGGTAGTTCCTGAAGAATATGTGACAAACATGCTGACCTTGTAATACAACAAACCTATAGCTAATTACTCTTTCCTGGCTGCTTGGAGGGGGTGCAAGACTGTGATGGCAGTGGCAAGACACTCCAGCCTCTTTTTCTCAAAGGATCTGAGACATTGAAGGCATTATTAGTAGAAGGACTCCCACTGTCTGTAAGGGCAGTTCCTTAAGACGGAGGTCTCTATCTCTTGGCCTAAAATATTTCATTAACTTTAACTGAATTAGATAGAGCTAAGCCTTCGGATTGTATCCAGAGGAAGTAATATGCTTTTTACCTCCTTTCCCAATTCACCAGTATAAACAAATTAGATACACACTTTAAGCATGTCATAAACCACTCCTGGCTTAAATTTATGCAGTCTTAATAGCACTGCATTCAGAATAAACTCCCAAGTGAGATAAACACAGTTAGAAAATAAGGCTTTGCTCTCCTGGAAACAAAATGTATTCTTTTGTCACTACTAAATAATGAGAACATTAGTACAAAACATCAGGAAGCATTTAATAGGACATAAGTGGAGGATTTAGTAAAAAGAATATCTAATGGCAATTTTTTTTCTGTCCGAGGGAGAGATGAGCTTTGGAGAAGCCATGCCATGGCAGAGGCAAATGCATGACTCTCCTTGCCACTTCTGCCTCCCCACCCCTTGAATGAGACCCATATATCAGTACAAAAGCCTGTTACTTAAAATAGGGTCAGTGACCCGAATGCAAGAACTGCTGGAGCTTGAAGCTTTGTTTTATTAATCAGTTTTCATGCATTTAGTTGAGGATTAGCATAGACTGCCAGCTCTATCAGCATTAATTTAGAGTACCTTGAGGTATTGAGGACAGAGCTGTCTGCTGCTCATACAATTTCAGTGAGTTGCCCCTACCCCACCCCCTGCCTGCTAAGGATTAAGAAACCATTAAGCCAGAATGAACGCTTTAAATATGCACTGCTCATTATGGTTTTGGAGTCGCAGTGGAAAGGAAAGAAAAATGTGAGGAAAGTAGACTTCCAGGTTAATTTGCTAAAGAAGGAAGGCTGGGTTTGTCACAGCGGGGCTAAGCAGCGAGGCCTGTGCTCTCCTACAAGAGTAGCGTGTATATTCTGCAGTATGTCCTCCCACCTTAGCAAAACTGATACCTCCACAAGAGATCAGGGCCCCCTAACGGCAGCACAGGGGCCCCCAAAGCTCATTAGTAGAGGCATCACATCTTTAAACAACAAGGCTAAATATATCTTTCTTAAGAAATAACCAAGAAAGATAAAAGAGACCTTGTCCTTTAGGCTGCAGTACACAGATTCTGTGAGTGCTTGAATAGCTCTCTTCCCCGAAGGTGCCTTAGCTACCCTCTGGTTTGCTCAGCATATTTTGTTTAAATTGGCATCTTTCCCACCTGCCAAAGCAAATGTAGCAATCTTTAATGGCCGTTCACTCCTATTTTGCCACCTTTGTACTTTCAATAGACTTTTTGCCATGGCAAAGATTTCCACGCTGTAGCAATCTGTGCAAACACTGGAAAGGGTCTCAGTGCAGAAGGCATCCTAGCACAGTCTGTTTGCCTACCATAGGAACAGTCAACTGCAGCTATAACAACACAGCAATAATGCTTCCCAGTTCCCTATTCAAGAAGGGCACCTGGGTGTAGATCAGCAAGAAGATCTGAATGTCTTCACAGATCAGCTTAATCTAAGGAGGCCTGATTCTGCAACCATCACCCGCATTTATGAACACATCTTCCTGGCTGAATCCAGGCAACAGGTCAGAATTTAGCAAAAAAGAATCCACAGAAAATCTCTATATCATTTGAGCAACTCAAGTATCTGTATAGTCTAACTATTCAGACTCTTTCTCTAAAGCACTTGTCTTCTCTCAGGCTTGTCGCATGTGCCAGAAATAGTCAGGTGTCTTTAAGCATAAGAATTTGGAACTGTGATCAGATAAAAGTAATAATTTGGGCTCTGAGTGGTCACTGAACACCCAGAGAGTGCTCTTTTCATCACAGAAGATACGGTGGACCTGGAAGAAAATTGTAATCTCATGTGTGTCTTTCATGTGCTCAGGGTCTCCTCTGGGATACAATTATGAGATTAGAATAAATCTCAATTCGAATACAGGTGCACCACCTGCTTAGTAATGTCAACGCCCTATCACAAAGTAAACAGTAAAAGCCTCTTGAAAATCAGGACAAGGAGGACTTAAATAAAAAGTAGCGGCTATTTGTCAAAATCAGGTCTCTTTAGACCAAAACCCTAACTGTTCTAGGAATCTTTTTTGCCAACACTGAAGCAGAGTACCTTGGGCTGGGCCCACTCCTCAGCTGAAAATTGCAGCCCTATAGACACCAAAGTTTATCTGGAGCATCTGCATTGCTTGGGATAACCTCACAGCTCCTCTGCTGGAGGCAGCTGTGCCAAGTAGAGAAATCTGGACTTCCAGTCCATCTACATGCTTGCCATTGACCCCTACCAGAGACTAGGGCCCTCTTAGACCTTCTAGCCACTCAGCACATTGCAGTTATATCAAGTTTATCAGTTTGCTCAGCAGCTTTTGCTGCCTTGACTCCTTTGAATGGAAAGAGATTAGACAGGGACCTACCTGATCCCCTGTGCTGGCAGTAGTCATGGATATGAGGGACAGTAACCTCTTCAGTCAGCACCGCAGCAACTGGAATAAAGCATGAAGTAAAGCTACGAATCAAGAGTTATTTCCCTGTGGTGGAGTAGTTTCTCTTCCAGTTCACTCCCAGGGCTAACACATCTGGATTGCCTACTTTGGTGTTCCTCTTATGGACAGCAGGGTTGGTCTAAGTTGGACATTCATGGAGTTGTGCACAGATCCCACTGCTCACCTTTCTAGGGAGAAAGCTCTGAAAGCAGATCAGGCACAGATCAGTCATGCAGGCTTAGAGCAGACACAAACATCCACCTAAAGTAAGGACTGTGTTTTGCCTCTTGCTCTTTAAAGAAACAGATGTGAAGGAACTACACTCATGCACTGTGGACCATAGCAATGTGTTTTCTAAGACAAGGCCCAACGCACTACTTGGAGGGCTACTTCCAAATTCTCCTCATAACAGGAACTATGCTTGGTATTCTTTTCCATCGCTGGCTGTAAAACGTACAAGAACACCTTTCTTTGGAAAGAAAAAAAAGTTGCATATTTATTATAGTGACCTCTACAACATAAACTTAGAATGCAGTTTATGACTTGTCTCTGGATTGTTTCACATGCTTTCGCAAGTGTGCCTGGAAGAAGCTCTGTTCTCACTGGGATTACTGTTACATAAAAGTAGGAATATGAGCCTTTCTAGTTTCAACAGGCAGTGCCTGAAATAAGAGTATATACTGCTAGTGTTTTCAGTGGGTGCCATGCATTTATACCTGTCTCAGATTTTGGCACGTCGCAGTCAGAGAAGTGGCTTCTAGAGTCATGATGGTTACTTTATATTGATCTTAGATGTAAGGCAAGATACAAGGGCATTTACTGTTTAGGTCTAAAACAAAAACTCCTTCAACATAATTATTCACGGAAAACGTGAATTATGCAGTGTTGATCAGTGGGGTCCCTGGCAGGAGAGGGCTACTATTGACAAGAACCAACTAGCAAGTGCTTAATGTGTTTATCAGTGTTATTCAAAAACAGTGTTATTCAAACAGTGTTATTCAAAAACATCTGTTCATCAAACAGATGTTATTTAAGACATCTGCCTACATCAGTGCTCGTACAACATAAGATGCATCACAAAAAGATACTACAATTTTCCAGAAGAGATTGATGCAGAGGTATACAGTGCAATAAAGTGCAAGGCAATGCAGAGGGCTACCTCTGACCTCACAGATGTAGTACCTCAGCATCATGTATGGAAACTAGATGTGGTCCCAAAAAGCAGTAGTGCTAACAAATGAGGTACTTTGGCTTGGGCTGGGACCCAGGTTAACACAGCTACATGGCTTCTGGGAGACAGCTGGCTCTGGTCCATCTGGCTCAGGCTGTGGGCAAAGGCCTGCGTGCCTGCACCTAGCGATGTTGACATATACCCTGGGAGAGGCACCATCAACTCAGAGCAGTGACTAAAGTCTTCTCTAGGATAAGTGTCCCATTAATTGTTTCTTTGAAGACCTATCTGGAGAGACTGCCATGAAATCCAGAAAGAGAATAAAATGATTGCTCTCATGCCACTTTGCATGACTCACTTGAGAGACAGAAGCACAGTGGTATGGAGAAGATAATTAGTCCTTTGTGTGTATGTGCCTGTTTCCAGTTTGTCTGAGTGTCTACTTCTTGGACCTTGTACTCAGTCATAGTTTTATTGGGGTCTTAAAAACTTGTACAGCATGTAGAAGTTTGTACCTCAATGGGCGCTTTCATAATGCAATAAAATATCACCATAAATAGCAGCAGTGCAGGCTGCTCTCTGGCATTTACATATAGTGCTCTTCTCTTGCCTCATTAATTTTGTAAGCATCCAAGATTGCTAGAAATCAGTGTAATTTATACTAAAGCAGTAAAGCAAGCAAGCAAGCTGAAATACAAACATACTAAAGCCAGGCTTACTTCTGTGTTGCATATTGCCACAGACAGAAAAACTGTTTCCCTGAGAGAGAGAAAGGGGCTACTGAGGCTATGCTGTTTCACTGACAAACACCTCATTGTATTCATATCAAGGGGAGTTGCGAGCAGACATATTACTACAAAATAGGGGTTGCATCAGTGACACAAGGAAACTGTGGTAATGAGTGCTACCAGTAGTGCAAAAAGTACTCTGAGCTCTATGTAAGACCCATCGCTCCAGACATCGCATAGTGGCATGCAATACTCTGTCCCTAGCAGTTTCCTCTTGCCATAGTTTTTTTCACTTGTTCAAATAGTCCAAACGTGAGGAAAGAAAAAGGCCAGCCTGTTTTGATTTGTGGACTATATTCCTTTGGGATGTTGTTTCTTAAAGAACACAGCTGCCTAGCAAACAGTCCCACCCAGCAAAATTTGTATTTGTTCTCCATGGGTGGCCAGATTATATTCTCTAAAAAACACAACCCTCCCCTAACCTCACAGATAAATTATCAGCAGGCATGTAGCACTTCCACATACGTCACTTGCTAGTTCTGCATACATACTAGCATTTTATTTTTCTCTATATTTGCCTCATGCATTTTTAACTAGCTGTGTATCATTCCT